TAGCAATAGTTGAGAAGTTTTCAGAGCTGAAACAAGCTGGGTATGGTGGTGCTCACCTATAATCCCAGCACTCAGGAGGCTGAGTCTGGGGGATTTCTGTGAGGCCAGTGGCAGCCTGGGCAGAAAAGTGAGTATAAGCCCAGCCTGAATTGCATCATGGAAACTTACCCTGAAAAAGGAAAAAAAAATCACAAGATGTAAATCTACAGAAAGAAAAATCTGCTAAAAGGATGAGCAGGATAATGGTAAATAATAATATTTACAACTATAATTAAAAACTATAAATTTAGGAAAATGTAATATTCAAAACACCAGAACAAAAAGAATCATGAAAAGGTACAAGTTGCAGAGAATCATCTGGTTATGAACTTTCCCATCAGTAAACTTGAGTGACAAAGTAACAAAAAATTCTGAAATGTTGAAGAGTGTTTTAAACCTACAATTCCACAATCATACTCTTGCTCAAAAATCAGAGTAAAAAATGATGTTAACACTTGCTCAAAACACTTTATTGAATGAATTATTAAGTAACACACCTACAATATTTATATGGCAATGGAATACCCATCTCAGACAAAACTAAACAAAAGAAGGGGATAGAAATGAAGGACCATATTGTATCTGTATATTCAAAATAGGATAGATGTACACTGCCTTCTCTTAATTCAATGAGAAGAAAGATTTGTTCTAATAGTGTTTGTGGACAGGATATCATGTCTGCATCTTGTACTATGAATAACTACTAAGAAGACAACAATATGCAAAATATTAATTATTGAAATTGTCCAACTAATTGATCTTAAAACTGTCTCATTGCTATTTGTTTCTCAATAAAATTATTTTTTAAAAGAACATAAAATTTTTAAAAAGTCATATAGAAAATGAGCATAAAAGTAATTTTCAGAATGCAAGAAACAAAAAATTCTTAGTTTTCAAGAATGGTCTAGGACTGGGGAGATGGCTCAGTGGAATAAGTGCTTCCCTGGCAAACTCAAGGGCCTGAGTTCAATCCCTGGTTCTGCCAAGAAAAAAAAAAAAAGAATGGTTTAAACAGTGTTTAAAAAATAACCAAACAACTTTTTGAAATGCTGAATATGTTTAACCAGCTTCACATATTTATAAATATAATAATGAACATAATCATTAGCATTTGTTAAATATTATACACAAAAAATATTTTTTAATTTTTTTAAAGAGAGTACAAATTACAATTAAAACAAAAAATTAAAAGTGATACAGAATTTCATGTAACAAAGTAATATGAATTTCTCAGTATTTGTTGTAGTACATGGTGTTTTCCAACTAGTTATTCATATTAGCAGATACATGCATGCAAAATTGGAAGAAGAAAGAAAAAAAAAGAAATGTATAGCAAATTAAGATGAAGAAAAGTACAAACAATAGAAAAAAAGGAGATGAAACAAATTAAAGCATTAACTGCTACTTTACGTGACCACCAGAAATGCACAGTACAGCTGTCCAAATCATCTTGCTTCTATACATAAATAAATATCTTTTCCTCACTCCTTCTCCTGTACTTCTCCTCAACTCAGTAACTCTTTCTTTTGAATAAGTTCATTCCCTTTTCCCCCTATGTATTGTACCCTTCTGATTGCATTTTTCTCTTTCAGGTTCTCATACTAAGGAGACAATACAATGTTTGCATGTGGGTCTAATTTAATGCACTGAAGACTGTTTTCTAGTCAAATCCCCTAACTGACAAAAAAACTCTCAAACTTACCCGGTTTTATAGCTGATTAATACTCCTTTATGTCAAAATACCACAACTTCTTTATCCATTCTTCAGTTGACGGGCATTTGGGTTGTTTCTAGGATTTAGCTATGACAAATTTCTCTGCTAAAAACATGGGGGCACATATATCTTTGTGGTATGAGACTTTTCAGTTCTTCTGGAAAAATATCCAGGAGTAGAATAGCTGGCTTGAATGGGATCTTCAATTCTAGCATTTGAATGAATCTCCATACTGATCTCCATAGTGGTTCTACCAATCTGTACTCCCACCAACAGTGCAGAAGGGTTCCTTTTACTCCACAGCCCCTCCAGCATTTGTTACTGGTTGACTTCTTGATGTTAGCCATTCTTTCTGGAGTGAGATGGAATCTCAGTGTTGTTTTAGTTTTCATTTCTTGAATAACCAATGATGTTGAATATTTTTTCATATATTTGTCATTTGTATTTCTTCCTCTGAGAAGTATATATTCATGTCAGATGCTGATTTTTGGGTTGGGTCTTTGAATTTGGAGGGCCCTGATTTTTATATAATTCTTTATATGTTCTAGATAAGAAGGCCTTTGTCAGAAGCACAGTTTGCTATAATTGTTTTCCATTTTTTGGCTTTACTTTTTACTCTGTTGGAGATTTACTTTGAAGTGCAAAACTTTTCAAAAATATGAGGTGCCAGTTGTTGATTTTTTGAGGTATTTTCTGTGCAGTTTGATTTTTGTTCATGAACTCTCTACCTACCCTTGTCTTTAAGATTTCAACCTACATTTTTCCCCAGAAGATTAATGTTTCTGTTTTAATATTTAAATATTTGACCTATTTTGACTGTAGCTTTGTGCATAGTGGTAGGCATGGGTCTAGTTTTAGACTTGAGCATGTAGAAAGCCAGTTTTTCCAGCACCATTTATTAAAGAGGCTCTCTTCCCTCCAGTGAGCCTGTTTTACCCCTGTATCAATGATATCTATGGGTGTGTCTGCATCTTCTAATCTGTTACACTGACCCTCGGTTCTGTCTCTATACCAGTACTATGCTGATTTTATCACAGTAGCTTTATAGTATAATTTCAGGTTTGGAATTGTTATATCCCTTGCTTTTCCTTTGTTTCCCAGCATTGCTTTTGATATTCAGGGGGTCTTCTGGTTCCAAATGAATTGAGGAAAGTTTTCTCTAACTCTTTAAGGTATACTAATGGTATTTTAATTAGGTTTACATTGAGTCTGTATAACAATTTTGGGAGTATGACCATTTTCACAATATTTGTTCTCCCTATCCAGGAGTATAGAATATTTTTCCATTTTCTCAAATTGCCTTCAATATCTTTTCTCATAGTACCATAATTTTCACTGTATAAATCTTTTATGTCCTTTGTCAGATTTATTCCTAAGTAATTTTTTTGGATGTTATTGTAAAAGGAGTGGTTTCCTTGATTTCTCTCTCAGTGCATTCATTACATACAAAAATGCTACTGATATTTAGTTGCTACCATTTATCCTGCTACATTGCTGAATTTAGTGATTAAATCTATAAGATTCTTGGTGGAAGGGGCCAGGGAGATAGCTCAGTGGAATAAGTGCTTGCCTGGCAAGTGCAAGGTCCTGAGTTCGATCCCTGATACCAAGAAGAGAGAGAGAGAGAGAGAGAGAGAGAGAGAGAGAGAGAGAGAGAGAGAGAGAAGATTAAGGGGAGAATTTAAGAGAGAGGAAAACTTTAAAACTAAAACTAAAAATTTATATAGAA